GAATAAAGTTGAAATAATACAAGAATAAAGATGAAATAACATGGATAAATTCATAATATTTCAAGAATAAAGTCACAATATTATGAGGGTAAAGTCATAATATTATATACTTTAGTCTTATATTATTTTGACTTTATTCTCATAATAATATTACTTTATTATTGAAATTCTACTACTTTATTATGATACTTTTATTATTTTTATTTTCTTAGCATGGCCCTAATACTAATAGTTTTTAATATTTACAAGATTACAAAATTTGGCATGCTTTTATTTCCCCAGTTTTTTTTTTTTTTTGCCAGACAATTGAATGTTATTTTACATTATTTATTAAATGAGAGCAGTTGTTATAAAGGACTGATTTAAAACTGAGAAAGTTATGATTTTTACATGTTCAATTACCATCATAATTTAGAGATGCAGATAGAAATCAGTCAGTGACAGGAGTTGGAGGATTTTCAGCTTGATCTGTCATTTGGAAATTAAAAATGGCATCCTGACAACACTCTTCACTGTGCATGCTGCTACTGACTGAAGAACACTCAAAATGAGCGTTTAGTCAGTTAAAGAGAGGTGTTTTAATCAGTCAGGGATAAGAATAAGACTTATTTAAAAAGAAATTGCATTTTCTAGAGCATGTTGAGGCATGCTCATTTCAGCAACATCTGAGTACAAATGAGTGATAGCAAAAATGCTAGATATATAATAAAAAAAATAAATAATAATAATCATTTTAAGGCATTTTACCAATACAACTATGACTGCATTTCTCTGTTTTACATTTAATGCTATTTTATTCCACCCTCCCAAAAACAATTTCTTATCTTTAAAAGAAAATCTTTGTTATGTGTGATTATAAATTGTTTGGTTTCTTGTTTTTTTTGTTTTTTTTTTTGCTTTTTGCGATTTCTTCTTAAGCAAACAAAAAGTTCTGATGGGCTGATATTAATTCCAGTTGCCTCGCAAAATAAAGGTTATTTTTATGACAATGTAAAGTAATATTTGCCGAGTCGTTTAATATGTGGTGTTTTCTGTGACATAAAAGGAGAAAAGCTAGTGTGACATTACAAGACCTGATGGGAGACCAAACAACGAAGCATAACTTTCACCCCGAACCCAGTCACCATTCAAAGCTTTCATATGTGTCGATGTTTTGCTTCTGCGCTGCAATCTGGAATCAGATTATTCTTTATTTCCGCGTTCATGAACTTTAAGCCTCATGCCACATTGACATGAGGAACCATTTTTAAACTTGTTCCGGGAACAGAAATTCCATTTTTTTTTTTTTTTTTTTTTAGAAGTTGTCATCAGTAGGCGTAAAAACAACTGCAATAACCTTAGAACAGAATTAATTACACATATCATCTAATTTATTATTGTCTTGATTTGTTTTTGTTTTTTTTATTTTCATTTTTTGCTTTGTGCTCACCATTATATAACCCTTATTGGAAAGCAACCACTGTGTTTCCAATCAGCGCCTGGAAGCAGACAGATATGATGATTAAGCTGCAGCCTTGACTTCATCGCCTCGAGGGACGGCGGAGGAAACTCTGTTGGAATATCGGAAGCCTAATTTAACCAAAAATCCTCGGCGGTGATGCAGCATATACTCATGCGGCGTCGATCAGCCTTGTGAGTGCAGATACAATCGGTGAGTCATCGCCGTGTGTCACCGTTGTGTTGTAAGAGCTGATCGTCACGGCTGCACACCCACTCACAAGGTAGAAAGATGGAGATGCCACACTGGAATTTTGAGGATTTTTTTTTCTTTTTTTCTTTTCAAAGTTCTTTAGCTTGGAGGGGTTGACAGAAAATTAAATGTTTGGACTGAGTCGTCATTGGACTTTCCAAGTGCCCTGGAGCTTAGCCACTGCCCTCATCCCATTAGGAAACAAGCCAAAGCCTTGAGGACAATCAGCACACTCCAAGCATGGGGGAGTGATGGGTAATGTGAGCTAAGACCTTCTGATGTGGACTGTCACATCTGTGTGAGTGATCACTCCAAATGTCCCGCCAAAGAAAAGATGATAGTTTGTTTTCGCACGCAGCCGATAATTAGATAGACACGGTCACCTTATCAATTACCCCCGGTGAGAACTCAACAACTCACTATCAAAGAGTGGAACAATGAGGGATGTGTGACTTTTCACACGGTTTCCATGGCAGTGAGGCCTCCTGGCTTCACTGTAAAGTCTGAACAAATGAAACGTCTGTGGGAATTTTTTTTTAAAGAATACACAAAGTCAACTAGGGTTAGAAAAGGCTGCAGGGGGAATGACAGTGAGCCAGTTATTACTTGACATTATTTTGGAAGTAAAACATTGAGACGTAGTCCTGTTCAATCCAACATAAAGAACATAAAATGTAAACAGCCTGGAAGAACTGCAAAGTCTTGACCTAGGCTGTGTTAACCACTCAAACTGGAAGACTGAGGAAAGTAAACATGAATCAGAGGAGAAACCATGAGCCCCATCATAACTGGAGTTGGCAACCATTTGTCATTCACTGCGAAAATGTAGCAAAGAAACCCATTAAAAAAAAAAAAAAAAAAAAAAGTGGGCCCTAACCATCTAGGGCACACAGTAAGCATTTGGAAGAAGGTTTTCTGATCAGCTGGAATCTGAGATATTTGAGCTTTGTGGTATTTTTGATTGATATCTGTAAAAACTGAAAACTTGTCTATGTATCCACGTAATACTGCAATATTTTTTATCTGGTGCTACTACAGAAACCGGACTGATTCTTCATTGCATCTGAAGCGTTGAATGTTTTATTTTCTGCCTTTTATCAACACAAACACTTTCAGTTCGTATTATGTTACTTGGATCATACTTTTTATGCGTGTGATTAAATGCAGAGGGTGGGATGGTGCTCTTTGTTTTATAACTGTAGGACAGCCTTAATTCTCAAAAAAAAAAAAAGAAAAAAAAAAATGAAACTAATCCTTAAAAACTTTGCGCTAAGTTCCTTAAATGGGAAAAAACTTGTAAATTATCTAATTTTTTTTATGAAACTTCCATTAGAAAAGTGTTTTATTGACTTCATAAATCCAGAACTAGTACAGGTCGTGAACTCTTTGAAACCTTTTTTTTGAAACATGAGTATGTAAACTTTTGAATGCTTAACTGCACTTAAGCTGTTCCACACCTCATGTGTCACTTTGTCTAGTCCTTCACAGGTTTCTGTTAGCCGCATCAAGTCTCTGGGAGAATTACTCCACACTTTTTAAAATAATTTTTCAGTTTCAAAATACTGCCTGAGACTTTTTTTTTTTTCAGAGCCTCATGTCTAAGTACAGAAAACAACAATAGGTGTGATTGAGATAAATAACTATGTGTTTCAACATGGCTGACTTGCTTAACCGTTGAGCTTGTTTAGATTTGCTTCCTAAATTTTTCAAAATCCAAAGATATTTCCTTTTCCCTTCTTTCTTAAATCAGAGATCACACGTTTGTTGCTCTTCTCCTCAACTGTGTCTGAATCTAATTCAGAGCATGAACTTTATATAAAGGTAAAGGTGCATTTATTTACCAAACACAAAACGTTCTGAAGAGACAAGCCTTCCTTTCTCGGTCGTCCTCCTGTGAAACTCCTGGCAGACTAATTAAAAAGTCTCTAATCCACTAATTAACAAAGGAAAGTTCCCTCCTAATGTTCACAGCCCACTGAGACATTTAAAATCCAACTTTAAGGCTACGAGAGGAAAGGCTTGTGGTAAAATGTGACTTTTTTGTTTTATTTTGACATGCTGTTTACAGCTGCCCCCCTTTAAAATAATTACATTACTCTAATCATCCACATCCCCACTCACCTTTTGTGTTAGGAATTCAGCTGCAAGGACGGACTCATTAATCATTTCGGCAGCATAAGTCGCTATAGCAGGGATACACAAAGCCATCTTGACATTAGACTCAAGACGAACTCCATAGTTCCATTCATGCATTGTTTATATCTGCTTATCCTATTAGTGGCTAGCCGGTGCTTTTCTATTTGTATTTGAAATTGCTACCGGCATTAGAAAGGGGGGCAGATACAGTATCGCTGCAAAAGTTTCCATACCCCCTGGATTTCTCTATATTTTGTCAAAACACAGAAGCAAACATCAATGTATCTTCTTGGGATTTCATATGATAGACAAACACAAAATTATGCCTAATTATGAAGCAGAAAGATGTGCGTTGTGTTTGTATTGACTCCCCTCTAGATCAATACTTTGTAAAACTATGTGGGGTTTTTTTTTGGGATGTGTTTCTATCATTTGTGTACATGTAAAGACTTAGATCCCCCCATACTTCTTTGACTCAGGCAGAGTGGATGGACAACATTTTGTATCTGTATTTATTAATTTTTTTTTTTATAAATCCCACTCAGAATGTTTTATTTCTGAGTGGGATTCAGATCTAGGCTATCAATATTACATCATGATGGTCTAATGGTCTGATATTACATCAGAATATTTAGGAAATATATTTAATAAAAAAAAGTGTGCTTAATGAAAAGTACGTTTGATACCTGCTTCAAAAAGTACCTTCAATCTGAAAGTACTCATCGGAATGCATATTCTAAATTACTGAATATGAATATTCATATACATAAAAACTGCATGTTAAATGACTGGACATGTGCAATAACAAACCAATAAACCTGAACGTGCATTTATCCGACAAATCATCAACATTCCTCTCTGTGTAATGTTTTACTAAGCTCTAGTCTCAGAACAGCTCAACAATAAACATTGTCGCAGTAACGGTCTCTGTCCAGTGGAGGGCAGCAGACCTACACCCTGCCACTGCTGGCATTTACTGCATAACTTCAGATGTTGATCCCAGCCCATGTGAGCCACTGGCTCCACAGAGAGGTGCAAAAAATGTCAAGCGTTCATGTAATTTTACTCACACAGAACAGAAACTTCTAGAGTACGAAACACCAACAAGAAATGGCTCTTGTTCGATTTCTGAGTATTTTAAGCTCTTTCCATACAAGAAAAAGAAAACGGAGCACAAATAAATGTAAGGTTTTAATTCACGTATTGCGGCATGAGACAACAGTGTTGCTCAGGAGGAGTGAGCGCAAACAAAGACATGATGTCATCGTGATAAGCTGACAGGGATGTTAAAGTCTAGACTCCTAGCTGAAGCAGCAAACGCAGCGCAAGAGAGAAACCTAATGGAGGGCCGAGAGCAGAAAACAGGCGACCAGCGGGACAGCAAGGGAGTGGACACAGGGTCTTTCATCCCGGCCCACAAAGCCGGCCTTTCATGTGTGGAATTTGGCAGTCATTAATAATACATACAGCGGTGGACAGATCAGTACAGCTGAGAGCCAGGGGTTAAAGGTCAGGGTGGAGAGTCACGGCAGCCATCATCACTGCAATGACGAGTCTGACATTCTCACTTCCTCACCAACTTCTTCATACTGAGCAGTGACCAGTGTTTTCGTTTCACGGTTTGGCGCTCCAAAGTTGCCTAAAGACGGGTTGGAGGGAGGTGCAGCAGGTTTCTTTCTGTTTGGTTGCAAAGTCCTCCAGGCGAACGTGAATGTTCTTATGACGAGCAGATGTCATCGTGTGGGAATGGGAAGTGAAAGACCCAGGGGGTTGTGCCAAGACGGACATGACCGACTGCCAACAGCAATGCAATTACTGTTGCCGCTGATACAATGGCGGCAATTCATCTGTCAAAATAAGACGTCAGGCGCTTCCTCTCCCGGACGTTATCTTCCTGTTGGCGGTCGGAAAACCTGAGGGACTCTTTAAAAAGGGAAAGAAAGGAAATGAAATCACTTCAGACTTGCACAGTTTGGCCTGCATGCAATTTAAAACGAATTTCCATATAGGTACTTTAATATTGTGATTTCATTTCTCGTAACTTAAATACACGAGTCAAGTTCAAACCTCCTTCATCCGTCAGCTTCAGTTTATATGTCTGAGTTTACGTGAAGGGCTTTCGTTGTACAATCAACAGTTACACAGTGTAAGGCATCTTAAGAAATAAAAACATGCACTTCAAAGACTAATGAATTACACTTTATATTGAATATACTTTAAAAGCCGAGGTTTATTTTAAAAATAGAAGTTTAAAATAGAGGTACTTACAATTTCCTCCTCCACCCAAGAATATAATAGAAAGTAGGTTTACCATACTTACGCTTCACAAACAGCCCTATAAAGACCTAAGAAGACAACAGATAGATCCCAGAGTAGCAGCAGAGCAGCGTTCAGGGAAACAGCTAAGAGGCCTGCAGTGACTCTGGAGGAGCTGCAGAGATCAACAACACGTGTCTGCAATCTGTGGAACTGTTGAGAAACGACACAAAGTCTTGTTTGGCTCATCACAAGGCACCTAGGCAGGATAGCAAATGTATAGATGAAGAACATATGCTGAGAAAAAAAAAAGAACTAATGCTGTGCAAAACTCCACAAACCATCTGTTGTTATTGTCTTCTAATTTATAATTAGCCTCGTTAAAAGCTGCAATATTTTTAAAATTTAATCCTGATCAATATTTCTTTTAAAGCAGTGGTCCCAAAACTTTTTCCTGTGAGGGCCACATAACTATTCCCTTCTCTGGTGGGGGGTCGTTTCTCGATTGATTTTTACCCAGAAAGCACATGGGCAAAACCCATGAGTGAAACGGTCACTGGGAATGTAACTTTAACATATTAATTTCTCATATGTTAACATAAAGGCTCGTTTTGAAGTAGAAGCTGCTACTTACAGGCATCGCTTCGAAGAACTCGACCTGGAATGCGGCGTTCATAACATACACGTGTGTTCATCTGCTCTACCGCTAGCAAACAACCATACTGATTAAACAACATACAAGTCTAGCAGTTCCCTAAAAGTCCAACAGATGGCAGCAATGCGCCCCACAATTTACACACTTCCTGCTAAAGAGCCCCCTGGTGGTTGAAGAAAAATCCAAATAAAAATCGGAAAATAAAATAAATGAAAAAAAAAAAAAATCTGAATGCTCTCTGGTATTGTTCAGGGGGCCGGACCAAATGTGGAGGCGGGCCGGATCCGGCCCGCGGGCCGTAGTTTGGGGACCCCTGTTTTAAAGGATTCCTTATGGGCTGTTACCCATTTTCTATCATGGATTTTCTGTCCACCACCTGCACATTGTCAGTGCAATATTTAGTTTTATTCAAAATGATTGTGACCTTTAAATCTTTTAAGCATGAGTTGCTCATAAGTTCAAGAGGTTAGTCAGTGTTGAGTTTTGTGCAACAGACAAATTATTGAAGATCCAATATTTAGGCCCCCTTTTTTTTACCAGCTGTTTATCAAAGACACAATTTGTGTCTATATCTTCGGCACAAATTCAGAAAAATATCAAACTCAGTTTGCGGTATTTAAGTTCTTTTCAAGATCTGATAGTCCAAACTTTGTTTACAGGAGATTATCAGCTGATAGCTTGATTTCTCAAATACTGCTTATCTGATGTAGATAGTTTTTAGGTCAGATACCTTTGATTTATATATAGAGTGTACCTGTTAAGACAAATAGAAAAAGTTTCATACAGAAAAAATACTTCCAACTATTTAAAAAAATATGTTTAAACTTTAAAACGAGTCAATTTGACCTGCAACATAACAGGAGGGTTAAGTCACCGAAATGCTTTATTAAACAATTAGCTTAGTAATAGTTGTAATCACACAGAACAGTCTGTCCCGTAATGTTAATAAGATCACAATGTTTTAAACAGCATCACTGGTGTGAGCTTTCATAGCAGCGTTTTGATTCAGCCCCCCTGCTCTGCATGTTTTAGATGTGCCTCTACTCCAGAACAACTGATTCAAATGATCGCATGACCATCAAGTACTGCAGAAGCCTGTTAATCACCAAAATATTCAATCCAGGTGCGTGGCAGAAGGAAAACACCTAAAACATGCAGGGCAGGGGGGGCCGTGAGGACCGCAATTGAGAAACACTGCAATAGGCGTTTGAGGTGAAAGTGAAACTTGAATGCAGCCGATTATTCTGAGCATCTTGCATTTGGCAGAGTGACAACTCTGTTTTCTGTGGAAAGAGGAATAGAATCAGAAGCAGCTTACAACATAGATATTTTCAGAAAACCTGACGTACGAGATTCCAGAGGCGAGTTGTCGTGCCTCTGTGTCTCTTAACGGAACAAGTTTTTTGGTTCCCCACGCTCACACACACGGTAGACGCCAAATTCACCTGCGTTGGCGTTTGGCATGACCTTAAGCTGACTGTGCGCTCAGCCTGCTTGTGACTCACGTCGGAGCCTCCCACCTCTGTTTCCAGCTCGATCAATACTCCCCTGACGGGTGAGGTCGCGCGCTTTCGGATGAGCCGGGATAAAGCACCAGGTGCTCAGGTCGGCCCAATCTGGGGAGAAAAAAAAATGTGAATGAACCCCTGGATTCTCTGCTAAGTTTAGCAGAGAATCCAGGACGAGTGGATCGACTTACACACACCCACAGCGTTTGCACGCAAACACACACATGGCGTGTCCCAGAAGGAGTACTATGTTTTGTTGTTTAAAAGTTTTAGAATAGGTGAATAGGGAGCTGCAATATGAAACAGTTGGAGTTTTGCAAAATTATTCATACGCCTTGAACTTGTTGAATGATTGTGAAGTGAACACCTCAAGTGTATTTATGAAGCACATTTCAGCAGCAAGGCAGTGCAAAGTGCTTTACTCCATGAAAACAAAATACAGCAACTAATTGTGCAACAGGCAACAAACATTACTTTTTTTTCTGAATTTACATCAAATTCAATAATCAGGATTGAATTTGATTGACCTTTGCCCTTCCAACAGGGCAAAGGTCGTAAACATAAGAGCCTAATACAAATACTTCACACTTTTCAGATGTCATTGCACAGATACGCATCATTTTTATGTTGGTGTGCTGCACAAATCCGAGCAAAACACAGTGAAGTAAATGTTTGTAACATTAAAGAAATTGGGGGAAAGTATCAAAGGCGACAAATTCTTTTGTAGTAGTTTCACATTTAATTCCTCTTAACAGCAAATCAGCTTCTGTTAACCGTCACTTCCACTTCTTTTCTTTACGGCTGGATCCTCTTTCAGTTCCCCCCACGTGAAACAGTCTGCTGAGTGAGACACAAACCTCCCAGACTGACACCCTCCCTCCTCCTCGCCACGACGGGACATAAAAAGGACACCTGTGAAAGGTGAATGAGTGTGTGGGTGGGTGTGTGTGCGCATGCGTGCATGTGTGTGTACATTACCAGTGGTGCACGTAGACGTGAGTGTAACCACTCTTCACCTTGGCCAGCCCCAGAACATTAATCACCTGGAGCTGTCGCAGTCACCGCACTCTCACACCCGCTTTCGACTACTATATGAATGCTCACAGACACACACACACACACGCACACACACGTTTGCGTGGCTATCTTTGTGGGGACTTTCTACTGACTTCCATTCATTTCTACAGTCTAAACCTTACCCTTATCCTAAACCCTAAACCTAACCCTGACCAAAACTCAATTCACACCTTTGTCCTAAATCTGACCCCTGGCCCAAAAACAGTGTTTCTCCTTGTGAGGACCAGGCTTCGGTCCCCACAAGGAGCAGTGGGTCCCCACAATGTAGGATGTGTCAGGAAAATGGTCCCCACAAGGTATTAGAAACAAACGCACACACACACACACACACACGCACGCACACACACACACACACACACACACACACACACACACACCGCTAAGATTCATGGAGGGAGGCAGTCAAGCAGCACAGGATAATAGAATCTAAATAACATGGCTAAAGGGAAAGAAGAAAAGGAGAAATAGGAGGCGTCTGAAGACTGAGTGACTGATCATGGAGGAAATTAGAAAGAAAAAAACAGAGAGAATTTGAAGTAGAAGAGAAGGGGGCCAAAGGTGAAACTGGCAAAACAAATCCTGTCGTCACATATCATTAATGTGATATTTGCTCCCATTGCTTGCCTTTCTTTGACTAAGGCTAGATCCTCAGATGTTTGTGTGAGCTGATGATGGTTGTTCTTCAGACTTGGAAGAAAAAGCAAAAACAAAACGTGTAAGCTTTATTTTTAAAGGCAAAAGGCACTCTGCGTCTAATTGTCTCTTTCTGCTAGTGGACAAGGTCAGCATGCATTTACAGTACAGGCTACTTGATATTAGCAAGGTAAGTAAGAAAGTAAAACGCTTATAAAAAAAAAAAAAAACACTGCAAGAAGAAAATCTGATAAGGTTTTATCTGAGTTGACTCCTATGTCATCAATACCGATCCCGCAGCTGTGTCGGCTTCTGCACCAGGAAGCTGATGAAATCGTATCCTGATGTGGACGCGAATGGCAACACCTTCCCTTTGGTACATTTTATTCTTTAAACACACTTAAACTAACAGCGGAGCGGCGGCGATAAAAGAGTTCCACCTCGAAGAGTCACGAGGTAAGCATGCAAACGGTGGAGGAAGCAGGTCTCCCACAGGAGGCTCAGCTCCAGATAATCAACTTTTATCGCCGGTGGATCATTAACAATCGTAAAGAACATGATGTGACAGTATTAAACACATTGGGACCGCGTACAATAATGTGCAGTAAGCATGCCCCTGGATCGGAAGTGTTCAATTTCTGCATGCACATAATTTCATTCTTTTTAATTTGTGTGTTGAAATACAAAATGTAAACTAAAACTCTTATTGGCTTGTGCTCAAGAGAATCGGATGTCTCAAAGTTGAGGATACTGATTAGATTTTGAGGCCTTGGCCTATGCCACCTGTTTTTTTTGTTTTTATTTCTTTCCTTGTGTTGTCAGGCTGCATCTCTATCAGCCTTATTCAGCCTGATTATCCTTCCCTGTTGTGCTGTTCACTGCTTAAACCAGCTTCCTTCTCTTTTTCACTTCTCTTGTGACTCTCGCGTCTCACCGGTTCGCGTTCCCGGATTAGCCTTTGTGCGCCTTGCCCCGTGACGGATTCTGACTGTAAATCTGGTGAGGACGACCTCTGCAACAGATGATTAACATCTGAAAGTGCTTCACAAAACTGAAAAGAAGTTTTGTGAAGCTTCTTCACAAAACTTGTGACTGGACTGGGTCCGCTTTCCCCCTCTGATTCAGGCTCTGTGTGGTCTACACCCTCTCTGACCCGCCTGTCCCTCACTAGTTAATGTTGGTGTGCTCCACTAACTCTGCCACACACATTTCCTTGAGAAATGAACTGATCTTCTCTTTTTTTCTCTCTCTCTCTCCCAAGTCCCACAAATGAAAAAAAACAACCTGAAAGCATTGATTTAATGTGAAATTGATCGTTTTTCTTTTGACAACTCCTGTGTGGCTAAATTTCCAGGCCAGGGTTTGGTAAACCTTGGTGTATCTAATGCCACAATACGTGGAAATTTAATAAATTTGGGCTTTAAAATGAAATAACACAATATTAAAGCCACACTATGTAATAATGGATTTAAAAAATGTAATGAAATTCTTGTGATTTTGTCGAGACGTGTAGGTTTTCTGGCTATGAGTATGAAAACGCAAATAAATGGCCAAAAGTTCAGCATTCATTGACCAAAGTTTCAATTTAAAAGCATGTAGAATCTACAAGATGATTATTATTTGAAGTATGTTTATTAGGATGAACACAATCAGTTTGTGACAGTTTATTACATAATTACATTATCATTTCTAAAAAAATGTGTGTGTGTTGTAAAATGCATTCAAGGATTTTATTAACATATCAGATTACATGAAGGGTAAAGGCATCTCACTCTTGTCTTAAAAAATAATTTTCTTTCCTAATATACTCTCAAACTACTTTTGCCATTTTCAAATCAAGGTTAAAATATTATTTTAACTCTCATCTTTTCATCTTTCCGGAATTTATATGCCGGACAGGAACTGATGTTTCAGAGAATTCATTTAATTTCTTTATGTTAAACCCATTTTTAGACATGTCAGCATATGCGGCAACACGAGAAACAGCAGCCTCGAATCCCCATAGCTGCTCCCATGGGCAAAAATAATCATCCCTAATTTATTGATATTTTTTACTGAAAAACTTCTAAAGTGCTTTTAGACCATATTTTGCTCTGCTGTAACATCACGTGTGGATTAATGTGTCGGAGATAAAACAGTGCATAATAAAACCGTTTCAAACCTTACTGTGTGAAACGACAGACGTTGCCGTTGTAAAATTTAGGATCATGATGTCGTTTTTTTATAAACTCCTCACATAAACTGTGATTTCCTAAATCAACTACTTAAGCTGAAGAGGAGGCTTTGGACAGTTTCCTGCTAACGTTAGAACAAATTTAAAGTAGTTGCTGTTTTTTTTTGTTTTTTGTTTTTTAAATAGAGACAAAAAAAAATATGAAGTTATTATTTGTTGTGTTTGTTTTGCACTGTTTACAGCCTGTGTAGTGTTAACACCCGATTTAGCCTTAACGACTGTTTATTTGTGAATGTTTACATGAGAGAATAACTTAAAAATAACTTGGTTTGTGCGTTGAAATACAAAAACTAAACGAAAATGTTTCGTTTTTCTATGTTTTTCTTTTACATAGAAAACGTTAAAAAAAAACATGTTCATTTTCAGTGTGGGACACAAATTAATTTCTTGAATTTCTACTTGAATTTTCAAAAATGTATGCAGAGCTGACCTATAATGATGGACGCCACTTGTTCAGACCACCGGTGCTGACCAGCAGGAACACTGCCTCTCCTTCTGTTTTAACAGGAAGCATTTAAACGTGCAGGGGAAATTTACACTCTCCCAAGCCTTTCCCAGGGACACTAATGGGCTTTTAAAAGTCAACATTCTCCTGTGAGAGGCCGTTCTGAATGACTAACGAGCGATAGTGGAGGGACTGCGGGTGGGACGTGTTCCCAGCTTCTAGTGGTCTTCTATGTTGAGATGTAAACAGCCCTGATAAATGCAGAAGTTTATTGTACTGATCTAAACAGACGTGAATCTTCAAGGGAGGACATGGAGTTAATGTTCTCGTCCATGTTTGAATGGCGGGTTCTGCTTTCTGCAAGTTATTTTGCTTCTGTTTCTACGGATGTAATCTCTGGAACCCCACCCAGTGACACACTGCTTGGATGGAGTAATAGATATAACTTGCCCTTATGCAAACCTCTCTAATCTGCAGAAAGACAAACCAGCCATATGGGCAGCGGGCGCATTATGCTTTATTTTTCAGCAAAAATATTTTAGGCTATGATAAGAAGAGATGGTATCTTTTCTGTTTGTTTTGGTTTCCTCTGGTATTTTTTATTTATTTTTTTTTCTTTTCAAATTTTTTTTTTCTTATCTGGAAACGTGCTTTATTTAAAGAAATATATAAAACACATCTAAAAAGTGTACACATTTGTCAAATTCTTAGGTTTTA